ACGGGGCTGTTTTAAGAAAATGAGGGGTAGTTTAGGAAAAATGAGGGGTAGTTTTGGCCTTTTAAGGGGTCAAAATGGTATGGCCAAATCAGCCCTTCTGGAACCAATTCGCACCATAGAGAGAGTGAAAATTGGCCCCTATTTCGTGGCCAATTTAGGCCAATGTATGGTCAAACAAACGAAATTTTAATGGCTAAATCGGCATCATAGGGTCTGAAACGACGCTCTTGATGGGAGCTGTTTGGGGCTTTAATAATGTAAAACAGTCCTCTGAACAGAACTAAAGTGGCTTTTGTTATGATATAAAATTGCCCCACTTGAGCTATTTATAGGCCAAAGGAAAGTACTTCCTGCGACTAAAGCAATGCAAACGAAGTCCGAATGACTCCTAACCTTAGCTCTATAACAGTTTTGTTAAAGCTAAAAATTAATTTTCATTTATCCTTTTACATGGTTCCAATTATCCATTTGATTCACACTCATTAAACAACGCTTAGCAGCAAAAACAATAACATAAAAATCCCTTAAATGGGGATTAACAGTTATTGAAGAAATGTAAAATGGTTTCCGTGTTTACATAGCCTGATGTAAACACTTGGGAGGTTGGGAGAACACGAGATAAGCGTAGGAAACCACGACGCGATGAAAGAGGAACGAAAACCGTGTTTACATACGCTCATGTAAAATGGTTTTATGGCCAATCAGAGCGCGCGTACTATTTGAATTATTTTATAAATATAATTATATGAAAAATGGTTTATCGACAATGTAAAGATTTGCATTCTCCAGCTGTGACCTTTTATTGGCAAACTGAAAATAATACATGTGCATAAAACAGCTGTGAAAGGGCTAAAAACCACAGTATCGAGAATATCCAATGCTAATTGTACATTTCTTCATATAAACAGAAATTACAAATAAATTCTACCAATGATTCTAATTCTGAAATTTCAAGAACCCTTTCACTCTCAAGATCGTATTAGTAATTCCTCTTACTGTCTGTCATACAATCTTTTGATATTATTTGGGAGAATTTAGTATTGGATCAACTTAAAGTCCCCTAGATCATATTCTACTTTATTCTCATCACTTTTCTGCTTGAAATTGTGCTGAGATTGTAAGGAGAAGTTTTCTCTTGGTCACTCATGGGAGTTAAAGGGTTAAAGAAAGTGCTGAAATTCAGCAAAGTATGACCTTGGCCAATACCCATTAGGGCCTGTGCTAGGAAAGACAACATGGCTTTGCTGTCTTTATAAACCACATATTGAATATATAAAATGATGACAGCAAAGCCACAATGCTATTTACAATGCTTTGTTGTGGTAAGCTGCATAGAATAATGCCCTCATAGATGATAATTAGTTTATCAAAATCAAATTG